ACAACAACAACAACAACAACAGTGAACACCTTTGTTCCAACAGGAAGATTGAACACTTGAGATGCCCAGAACAAACTGAGATGCAAACTACAAAAATTTCTGTTTTTCTTCTTCCTTTCGGGTATTTCGGAAGTTAAGCAGAGGCATTTCACTGTAGCAAAAGCAATTAGGTCAAATCAAATAGTGAATGGTATTGCAAAATCCAATATAAGTATGAATTTATGGATATATCCTAATATATTTCTGTGATTAACAGAAAAATCCACGACTATTAGCTTTAAATCTGTCGGGCCAAATATTGAGGTGATGTGAAGCCGGAAGAGAGTTGGTTGAGGGGACGTTTCACAAAGGGATGGTCCAAGAGCTGAGCAGCCGTGGGCCGTGAGTTCGGGTCGACTTGCAAACACCTTAGAATGAAATCACGTGCGTCGTTCGAAAGTGAATCCGGGATTTCGGGCCTCTCACCCCTACCTATCCTGAATAATGCTGCCATTTGCTGCACATACAAATATAGAATTATTTTAATCCAAAGTCCATAGCCAGTCGATTCTTTCGTTAGAAAGGGAAATGTTTGATGTCAGCATAATGTTTGTGTGGGTGACCAATGAGTAATGACTACTTTGGCCTATTTCCTGAATTTTGGACACTAATGATTCAAAGTTGGGGGAAAGAAAACACTGAAAGGTCACATACAGAAAATTGTCATATGAACAATTGAACAGAAATATTCTGTGGGAAGAAACAAAATTTTAGATATAAATTTCAAACAATTTAAGCTACTTTTAACTTACGCATTCCAAATGGGAGTATGGAAAACGTCTAGTCAGCATCTCCAATACGGAGCATCCTAAACTCCATATATCTGCTGGCAGTCCATACCCCAGGCTTCTAACAACCTGCAGCCACATTGATCGAAAAAGTAAAAATGCAACAGTATTATGTATACAAATAAAAGTCGACTTGTATAATGCTATGGTACTTCATGATATGAACTAAAGATAGAGTTAATCAAAGCTTCTTTGGGGTAAATAGTTTAATGGTAAAACCTCAGGAGCCATCCAGAGTGCAGTCCCCTTGCAAGACTTCACATCGTTTAACTTAGTGGCCTGCATAATAAATCAATCACAGAATGCTATTAGAAAGTAAAAAGAAAAAATAAAATATAAGCCGCGAAGTATCTAAATAGAAATCGAAAAATAAGGGAGAAAAGAGATCAAACCTTTGCAAGACCAAAATCTGCAAGTTTCACCAAACCGTTAGTGTCCACCAATATATTTGCACATTTGATATCTCTGTACAAGAGACAAAAAGGATAGGAGACACTTGAGCAATTCTGAGCCATAAACTGATCCATTCTAATGTTGTCAAATCAGAAAGGCACTTTACTTAAGAAGGAAAAATTTTATTCCGAAGAAATCGAAAGTGATACAGAGAATAATAAAGAATAAGCAATTAAACCTAACATATACAAAAAGAATAGTATTAAGTGCAAGAACTGACCACGATACTCTAAACCAACAAGAATCATAATCGGTAGAGCATACTACATTAGAAAAACTACATAAATGTACTTAATTGTAAAACCATCTCGAAATAAAACAATAGCAATTTGGTAAAAAAAAAAAAGTCAAAATTGAGGAAAAGCTTCTTTACTAACCTGTGCACCACATTTCTGTCATGCAGATATTTCAAACCATGCAGAATTTGCCTTGTATAAGCAGAGACTTGAGAATCTCGTAAGTTATATTTCTGGTAAAGGCTCAAAAGGGAGCCTTTGGTAACAAGCTCTAGGAAGATGTAGAGATTCGATTCGTCCTACAAAGAAAGACAAAATAAATCTTAGGCATGTGTTACGAATAGCAAGAGGATAAATATCTTTTAACATAACTTTATATGGACAATTATAAAGTATCTAACATGTACATATCTATTCTTGAAGTCCTGGAAGTACATTATTCACAGCAATTTAAGCATCAATCATATAAGAGTAAAGGAAAGATTCTCACACATCTCCTTAATGTCGAAGAAAAGGGTAACCCATAGCAGCTATTAACTATACCTCAAAGCGCTAATACACAAATAACTCAACTACAAAGAGCAGTACCTTCTTTGTGCCATAATACTGGACAATGTTTTCGTGTTCAAACTGACTCAGAAGAGCAATTTCCTGGATAAACAGAAAGATAAAATATGTTTACAAGACAAAAGGGGCAGAAAAGAAACAAAAAATCCATTACCAGTAAATAATTAGAGTGCGGAAACAAAGCTATTTGAATGCTAGACCTGTTCAAGTTGTATGAGACGTTGCTTTCCTTCATCCTCCTGATCTAGTAAAGATACTTCCTTTACAGCAAAGAAGAACCCATCACTGCAGCAAATCAGACATTAAATCTTAAAAAAATCAACAAAGAATCTCTATTTGTGAGTTAATTGACATCCAGATGAAGTTTAAACCCCTAAGACGATACCCTCAGCAAATGCATCATTCGCATCAATAACTCAACATGATATAAGAACCTACACTTTATCTATATATCTTGCAGCATATGATATTGCATAATTTTTCATCATGAAGACCCTCACTCAAAATAAAAATTTTGCATGGACATGTAGATATTACAGAGTACAATATTCATCTAACAATAACTGATCCTGCCCAAATCACAAACAGATGCACATGCTCTAGCTCGGAATTAAAAACTAGAATTTAGCATCGACAGTTCGGAAAAGTAAGAATCACCTACTCAGCAATTCCTTCATACACAGATCCGAATGATCCACGGCCCAAGAGGTCTCCCTTCAGCCACTCAGAAATAACGCGCTCAAATCTCACATTAGGCGAGATGCTCAACGTTGGTTCGGTAGTGGTACTTGAAGTATCATCATCATTCGAACTCGCCGTGAACGAACAGGAGGCCGAAGGTACACAATTCTCTTCCCTCATAATTCCCCTGCTCCTCCTATCCTCCACTTGATCCTCGTCCCCTTTCCTTTTCAGGCCTTCCCCTTCTTCATCCAAGCAAAACCCTAGTCCAAATTTTGAAGCTTGTGTGCCGCTATCCGGTTTAAATGCTCTGAAAATATCCCATGATGTGTATTCTTTATCAATCACAGGCACCGAGATAGGAGGGGGCGGATCCAGAAGGGGCGGCCGAACTCCCTTTATACCATTTCCACGAGATTCATTTGAACCGATGCTCGATTTACAATTGCTCAAAGTTACATCACTAACCATCACACTATCCTTTAATCCAGTACCTTTATCAATGTCTTTAACATTCAGGTTATATAAATCAACAGCGTCGTTGTTGACCCTTGATGTGATATCTTCGATTGCATGACTGAAACCAACAGGAGCTGAGGATGATCTCACCTTCATCGCCTCGTACTCCTCAGGGTCTATTGAGAAGTCGTCGATACCGGAAAATCCTAGGGTTCTGCAGATGATCTCAATCTCGCCGTCGACTCCCTCTATCCGGAAGCTGCCGTCGTAAAGATCGAGGAAGCGGGTACGCATAGATTCCTCCGGCGAGAAGCGCGAGGAAGACGAGTCAGGCGGTGAGTACTCGTACTTGATGTCCTTCCTGGCGTTGCGCCGGTCGAGCTTCGGCTTCATCTTGGCGGCTGGGATGGTCGAGCTGGACCTGGCGCCGGAGGAGGATTCGTCGCCAGTCCTGATGCGATTCGAGCTATGCCCGAACACTTTCGGTATGCGACGCATGTTTGCGGCGTGAAGCAAAATCCATGAATCAAAAAGAAGCAGCTGTGAGCTCCTCAGTACTGACTAAGCGAGGGTTTTGACAGGAAAGATGAATTTTTTTTTTCAGCGGTGAGGCTATGGCGGAGCTTGGACTTGTGGAGACGACCGGCGTTTTAGAGAGAGAAGCGAAAAAGGCGTTGTAGAGAGAGAGAGAGAGAAAACGCGGAGACAAATGAGGGAGATGACCGGAAATCTCTAAGGCCATCTCCAACCGAAAAACTCAAACTCAAACTCATTTTGCAGTAACTATCTCATTTTGTAGTAATTCATCTCGAACCGAAAAACTCATTCTCAAACCCAAAAGAATATATTCCTAGAATATTCTCTTTTACACCAACTTTTATAACTTTTCAATACTACCCACATATTTTACAACTTTACAAATTAAACCACACTATTATTTTAAATTAAATTTAGACTTTATGTAATTAAAATTAATTATACATAATAAAATCGGAGAAATAAATATTCATTAAAAATTAAAATTTCGCCACACAAATAAAATTAAAAATTACAATTCTCAAGATGAGAAATTAAAAATTACGGGAAATAATAAGTTATTCATTATTTTAATGAAATTAAAAAGGGAGAATAATATGTATATTTTACATTATTGTTGTGGTACGTCTAAAATTAAATAATAAACATAATATTTATTATTTAAAATATTATACTATCTAATTTTGATGAAATTAATTATTTTAATATTTTACATTACTATGAAAAAATATATAATTAATATTCATTATTTGGTAATATAAATGTCTTTTTTATGTGTTAAATAAGCTTTTAACTATTAATATGATTTGTAATTTTTTTACAAAATATACTAATATATAATAATAAAAAAATAATAAAACAAACAGTAATTAATAATACTAAATACAATATGCAAAATACATATATATTATATATATATTATATAATATTTGGTTTGATATCTAATTTATACTAAATAATGGATCATTTTGCAATTATTAAAAGTACATACGCAAATATTTTGCGTTGAACGCAAATTTGCGTTTCACAGAGGAGAGAGAAGGCCAAAATCGGATTTTGCGATGGAATTTGCAGTTCGATTGGAGCAAATTTCCCTCATTTTTTGCGTTATGCGAATCGGTTGGAGAAGGTCTAAGGCGTATTTGTAAATTTTCATTTCTTTTTTTTTTTTTTTTTTGGTACAGGGACCTTCCGGTTTCTGGATCCACAGGGGAACCGACTAATCCGGAATCGATCCGGGTAGGACCACAAGGGCGGCAAAGCTCTCCCTCAAGAGTTTTAACACTGCTGCATTCCCAGGGCTCGAACTCGAGACCACTGGTTAAGCTGGAAGAGACCCAAGCCATCTCATCCAAGCGCTCTTGGGTAAATTTTCATTTCTTTTGGTGGTGGTTGTTGAATATTAAATATTTTAGCCTTTAGGTACCAATTTGTCAAATAAAAAAATATATAATAACTGCATTCAACAAATTGTTTCTAATTTCCATGTTATTGAAAGTACCGAAAAAAAAAATTAAAGAACGTATGTATTGGAGTTCTTGGTATTCGGACTGAACTTTTGCAAACAGAGTTTGGAAGATGCTACGGTCCCATTATGAAACTATTCCGTTGAACTTTATAACCGTTAGATCAATTATTTCCGACGATTATATAAAAATCTAAAAATTACAAACCGGACGTAATAGTAAAATTCATTCCCGAATTCACAAATCGTGTTCGCTTAATAAAAATATAGGTTTCGACTCGTTTAATAAATTCAACCTAATAAATAAATAAAGTATAGCGCACATTTGGTGTACAAATATCTAAGCAAATTATAAAAAATAGACAAATGATTAGGACTGATCAAAAGTCAGCCTAAAAATGAGGTGCCTTACGCTTATGTCATGATTTCGTTTAAATGACACTTACTTAAAAAAAAGTAAAATAAATAAAATAAATAAAATAAAATGGTTTTTAGAGAATATATTTTATATCTATTCAATGAATCTCTAGCATAATGTCCATTTTATCCATCATGCGAAAAGAACCTTATTATATCATACAATACAATTATTTAGTTTTATAAATTGTAAGATGAAATAATTTTACAGCAATCAAATGAGGTGACATCCTGTAATTTTTTTTTTTTTTTTTTAACAAAAATTACAATCTATCAAAATATTGCTAAAAATAAGTGGATTTGACAAAGAGGTGAAAAAAAATTAAAGAAAGAGCACAAGGGTAAAATCAAAAAATCAAAAAAATAATGTTGCTTTAACATTATTTTCTTTAATATAATAAATGGTATAATTGTTGTGTAAGAGTAGAAAAATGTTAGTTTGATATGTAAAAATACGAAATTTTATCACCTATGTATTTATTATGTCAAATTTTACATCAACCATTATGTTAATTTAGCACGATAGAAAAAACTGAACCCACATGGGTCGATTTTCGACGATTTGTCGACTGGTCTTCGTCTAAAATACAGCATATGAAACTGAACTCGGCTCTGCATAGAAGTCTTTGGAAATATTCTCTTATTTTTCTTTCTATAGAATTATGCTTTACTTGTTTGAAGCCTTTGTGTATATAATGTTAATTATTCCTCTGAATTTATTTCATTTCAATTATGATTTTACTCATTCAGATTTCAAGTATTCCACAAGACACCATTCAAAACTTACAAGACTGCGATGTGATGTCCCATAACTGATCTTGTCGTGCTCGAAAAAAAAAAAAAGGTATGATAATTTATATAATCATTTCAAAATAAACTGTTCTGTAAAATAAGTGCACACATACTTGATTTTCTTTCTCTTCAACTTTTTTCCACATGAAGATCATCGGGTGAGAGCTTGGTCGAGCAGAATAATCACAGATCATTCACAATATACACACGTTATTCCGAATGTGAAATCCAATAAATCAGGCCACTGCAAGAGACATTAACATGAATGAGTTGAGACCAATGGTTTTTTTTTTTAAAAAAAAAAAATGGCATTTCTGAGATCTTGAATTTGACGAGTTTTTTGTTTTTACCTGATTAGTATAAATACGCATTGAAGAACACCTGCAATTCCAGTCCATGAAGAAGGACCGGTTTCCACAAGGGCATCTTGTATCAGTAAACCAACTGAAGCAGCTAACGAGACAAACGACACAACATATGCAATGAAGAGCCAAAGTTTCAACCTGCGCGTATTCAGAAAACTATAACCAGCCGGAGAAAAAACTTGTACTCGGAACTTGAAATATGGAAGACAAATATAAAGATACAGCAAGATGAGAAACACAGGCCAATCACATTCTGACAGCTACAAATTCTTTTATGAAGAACGAAAAACCCTAAACGAATCATCACCTCATATTATACTGAATGCGCTACGACGTAAAATGTTCTTGCTAGCAAATGGAAACCAAAGGTACAATCTAAACATGGGAGGAAAAAAAAAAATTGAATCTTGCTAAATTTACTGCCTTCGACAAACTTCATCGATATGAATAGCATATCTCTCAACCAAAATTCAAGAAATTGAATCCCTCAAGCTCAATGTTTCACATTGATCAAACTAATACCTAAGTGGTTTTCTATTTTTAACTTCTTTTTTTTGTTCATAGACCCATGAAAATCATACAAGCTTAAAAAAACAAAAGCATGATTAATCTAACCTCCATTCACCCTCTTCATAGGGTGAGTAATCGATATCCTCTTTCCTCACGCAATTGAACATCAAAGCAGCTAAAGACGCAAAGATTCCTAGCAAGACAAATCAAAATTTTCAATTAGGGCAAAAATGCATCTAAATCTCACACAAAAAGTCCTAATTTTTGAACAAATTTCCATACAAATACCAGGTAGATAGTGCACGAAAGGGATTTTGACTGAGCTGCAAACAACGGCGTCGACCCAAAACCACCAGCCGGCGCCGAAAACGGCGCCGGCGATGCCCGGCCCGAAGATTGCCAAAAGCTCCCCCAAATCCATTTCGAGACAAATTACAGCAGAAATTTGAAGAAACTCAGTTTTGCCTTTCCATCTCTACTTGCTGTGGACTTCTCTCTCTACTGTTGATTGGATTATATACGGCTCAGCCTCTTCTACAGTTTCTATGTTATTCAGAAGTTCAAAAGAAAAACAAAAATAAGGCTATTAGTTCTTTAATTTTTGGGTGACAATGTATAATTTAATGAAAAAATAACTTCAACCAACTTTAGTAAATGTGTTAAATACTTACTTAAATTTGTTTATTTACTTGTTATTAAAAACAAACAATTCAAAAGAGACATATTATTTGCAATCAAGATTATCAGAGATGCTACAGTGTTGAGACCAGTCCGTCGAAGTGTAATCCACGATGATTATATGATGATCTAACAGTTACAGACCCCAACAGAATGGTTCCATAACGAGACCATAACATTTTCTAGAAATTCATCACGACCAGGGCTGTATTCGAGTCGAGCCGAGCTCGAGCTTAGGGTGTTCGAGCTCGAACTCGAGCTCGAGCCTTAACGAGCTGAACTATAAAAATTTTATTTTCAAACCTTATCGAGCCGAGCCAAACTCGGCTCGAGCCAAACGAGCTTTTAATGAGCTCGAGCTCAACTCGTTAAGACCTCGAACTCGAGCCTTAACGAACCGAGCTGAGTCAGACTCTTTTAATTTAACAAAACTAATCACGGCACTACTTTCTTCTTGCAAAAAAATTAAAACAAATAAAACCCATTTCAATAACAATAATGATATGATAATTATTATAATAATAAAGGGAGAAAAAAAAAAAATATAAGAACTTATACAACAAAAGATAGAACCCAATACATTAAGTTGAACAAATAAGTTACGCATTCTGATCAAGCCTGCAGGGGGTCAAATTAATTCGCTTTGATCGTTGAACTTCTTTGCTATGTCCTATATACAGTACACCACCAACTTTACAAAGCTCTTATATAGACAAACGGCTTTACAGTTATTATTATTACAAGAATCACAGCTCCATACACCCTTTCTAAATAAATAAGCTACCAAAAAAAAAAAAA